GCCGCGGGGGGCCCAGGCGGGTCCCCCAGGCCTGCGTGCGGGGGCTCTGGCGGGCATTCCCCATAGCCGGAGAGAAAGGCGGGGTGAATGGTGCGCCCCAGGAACACGACCCCGAACCTGGCCGGGCCTGGTGCCTTTCTGAGCCTTGAGGGAGCTGGGCAGGGCCTGGGGCTGAGGCCAGTCCCCGAGAGGGCCAGGCTGCTGGGGGCGGGGGGCAGGCGGCCCTCCGGCGGCTCCGGGGAGGCCGATCCGCAGAGACCCCTCCGGTCGGGCTCGGGACGCTCCCAGCTGACTCCGCGAGGCCCCCAGGCCAGGCGAGGGCCCCCAGAGTCCCTGCGCCACCCCCCTTCCTGAGATCCAGCTCAAAAGGCGGAGCCGGGCGGGGGCTCACTGTCCCTCAGCGGAGCTGGGAGGCGGCCGGGGCGGGCGCGGGGCGGGCGGGCGCAGCAGGCCAGACGCACCTCACGGCCGGCCGGTCCCAGAGCAGTGACAGCCAGGCCGGACCCCACGCCCGAGAGGAGCCGGCTGGAGTAACCCCAAGCCCTGCCCCGGAGACCAGGTCGGCCTGGCGGGGCGGGACCTGGCCCAGACCTGCCCGACCTGCCCAGAGCTGACCTCCTGCCGGCAGGTACAGCACAACCTGAGAGTGTAGAATAGAACTTGCTTCTTGGGGGGGTTGGGGGGCCTGGGGTGTGATAAGGCTACAGTACCTGATCCCACAGGCTTTCGGGGATACCCAGATAGAAGTCTCTGCAAAAATTGTCAAAAAAAAAAGACCCTAGGAAAGGCCTACTGCTTGGGCTGACTCTGCGGCACTCGCAACCTTTCAGCGCTTTAGCTTGCAGTGACCCGACGGCGAGGACGCCCGGCGCGGTGGCCGACACCCCACGAGGCCCGGGCCGGGCACCAGCTGCTCCTGGCACCCCGCGCCGGGCAGCTGTGCTCTGTGACCCCGTCCTGCTCCGAGCCGTGACCGACGACCTGACGGCGGCTCTCAGGGCTCGCCGGCGCCTCACGCCTGGGCGCGACCCAGCGTCTGTGGCACTTCACAGCCCTCACAAGTCCGGACCAGACCAGGGGCACAGATCGCCCCCGCCAGCACCCGGCGGCCGCCCCCCCCAGGCGCCAGCCCGGCCGGCCGACCCTGCCGCCGTGGCACCCCCGGTCAGGGCCAGGTCTGAGCGGCGTCGCCCGACAGGACCCGGCGGGACCAGTCTGGGGCCAGAAGGCCCGAGACCTGTTTCCAGAAAACGCCACTTCCCCACCCCGAGCCAGGAGCCGGTCAGCGGGACAGGAGGGCCCTAACGACGCCCAGGGACACGAGGAAAGGGCGCGGCCCCCGGGCGCAGCAGACGGGCAGTGCAGGCAGAGGCTGCGTTAAGGACTCAGAGGCGCTGGGGGGCCAATGTTTCTTTTCTCAAAAGCAAAAGGCAACTAAGATTTTCAAGTAACAAAATTGCTTTGCCGGGAAACTGACCAAAGCAGAGGAGGCAACTGTGTCTCCAGCCCACAGCCCTCGGCCCAGAGCCGCCCAGGCCCCGCCCCAGCCGCCCTCCCCTGCGGGACCCTGCGGCCACACACGAGCGGTCCACGCCGCGGGCCCAGAAGGTCCGAGTCGCCCACCGGGGAGTGGGGGGGCACGGGGGGGCGCCGCCCGCCTTGGGGTGACCGCCGCGGGCAGCAGCTCCGGCCCAGGGCCCTGCACAGAGGCGCCGGCACGCTGGGCCTGCCC